TAAAACATGATGCTCCAGTTGTGGAAGAAGTCTAGGGCTTCGTTGAAGGAGTTCTCCTCCAGTCCCAGAGACTGCGCCACACGCCAGCATTCCTTGCGACTCATCACCTGCCTCCCCAGACCCTTGGCCAGGCTTCGCAGCTTCTCCTCAAAGGTGTCCCATCTCACCGGGATCTCCACTTCCTTTGCCGGGCACTGCTCCAAGATGTAGCTCCGAACCTTCTCCGCCGTCTTCCTGTCCGTGTCGTCTGGATTCAGGGCATTGATCTCGAAGATGAGTGTCTTCTTGTCCAGCTGGATGATCTGCTTCTCAAACTTTGCCGGGATCAGCTTCTTCAGTCGCTCGTTCTTGTCTGCCACCGTTTCGGGGAGACATTTGTGTGCCTGGTCGCGGTGGGTGCCGAGGAAGAGCAGCTTCGAGGGCTGCCCCTTCGTTTTGGAGGTGAACGTGTTGATGGTTTGGATGAACTTCTTCAGGTTCTCTTCGTTAGTTCGGATGCAGCGGTAGGGCTTGGAGACGGCCTTGCCCCTGAGCCAGTAGCCAATCTGAGGGTGTTCGTCCAGCGACTGTGACAGGTCCATCACCAACACACAGGCCGAGGTCTCGCCAAGGAACACGGCCATGGCTTCCATGAACTCGGGTTGTCCTCCGCTGTCCACGACGTACACCACCGTCTCGCCCAGGAGCGTCTCGTGAGAGTCGCTGGGGATGTTGATGAGGGAGATATACTCTTGGTCCTCCTCAGATGACTTCAGCAGGGACTCCAGTGTCACCTCTCCTGGGGCTGCTCTGGACAACCTGTCAGGAACGGCTGTTGACATGTTTGTGGTAGGACTGCCAGTGGTTTTCACTGGCTGTGTGGCTGTGGATGACTGCTGGGCTGAGGACGAGGGCTGGGTTGAAGACAAAGGCTGGGCTGGGGACGAGGGCTGGGCTGGGGAAGACGGAGCAGGTATGGAGAGGGATGCTGGGTCTTGGCTGGTGAGAGAGGCTTGGCCTAGTCGCTGGGCCCGCTCTCGCAGGAGGCTGGCAATATATTTCTTCTTTTCCTCCGGGTTCCTCTTCTTCCAGTGGACTTTGTCATGGACGACAACCACCTCTGTTTGGACGGGTCTCGTCAGGAGTGGTGTGCTGGTGCGCTGGTCTTCTGCCAGTGGCTCCTCCCCAATCACTGTCTGTAGAGACGTTGATTTCCCACTGCCAGCAATCCCCACCATCACCAGTTTAGTCAGATGTGTACACGTATAGTAAAGGTATGTAAAAGGTCAATAACATTCATTAGATTCCAGGTAACTGTATTTGCAGTAGAAAATGGAGGGCCCAGCATTGTGGCACCCCATGTGCAGCAAGGCCACTGGCACAAGGTTTTCCATGTATAATTATAGTTACCATGGAATCAGCACATCAACCAGCTTCATACATCTAGTTCTTTACTTGTAGGAATAATATTATGTCAATCTGAGCTCACTCGAACTTGCTTTCGGTTAATATTGCATAACTAATGTATGCATGCATACATGTGTTGACAAAAGATAGAGTGCAAAATTTGGTAAGTTAAGAAAGAGAAGATGAGAGAGATGCTCACCAGTGGGGAATAGGGACTGCACTCTCTCTAGAACATGGTGACACTCTTTATCTCCCAGCCGGTAGAGGGCATCTGACACATGCTCCCATGTCAGGTGAGGATGTTCAGTGGAAATCACTCTGAGCATTTCTGCCATCCTCTCCTTATCACTGGACAACTGAGACTTTATCTTATCTAGTATGGACCCTGGCACATCCATCTCCCAACCAAAGTCCCACCACAGTTTGTCAGGTAATGATGACGTCAGGTTGGAGAGAGTGAGGCTGATATCTGTGAGGATCAGAGGAACACTTTCATACAACATTCATAACTGACATGACCAGTCCACCAATTTCTTGTCATATCAATACACCACCAACTACATACTGTAGTATGTAAGCCAGTGTCATGAATAATGTTGTCCATCATGAATTACAGAGAGTGGGTGGGTTCTTACACATCTCAGCTATTCACAGCAATCAAACCCACAAACTATGGCTTACACATACTCAATGTATGGACAGAGTATTACAGTACTGTACTGCACATGTACATTCTCATACTGACCATGTGTGTGTGGTAGGTATTTGTCTGACACTCTCCTGGGCCGTGTGCTCCTCCAGGAACCATAACCCACCAGCTATCTTCCCCCACGACACACCAGGTACAGTCTGGAGGCAGTACTGAAGACCAGCCGCTCTCTTCTCTTCTTCACTCGAGTATGATCTACTGTCTATGATCTGATTCATCACTGACAGAGGAACACCAAGAAACCTCAGTAGCCCGATCTCTAACCCAAAACCCCAGAACCGTCTCACAGTAGCCACAGCATGTGCTACAGAGTGTGGAGTGAGGCTGTCATCTGGAGGGAGGAGGGGCAGGAGTGACAGTAACAATCACAAAATGAAAAGCACTAAAGTGCAAACCCTCGGCGAAGTAGCTCACAGAGAGTCTGACACGGGCTAGCTACAGTAGTAGATAGCACGCGAGAGTCGATACACGCCATTCGTTGTGACTTCTTGTGCCTTCAAGATAGACAGAGCAAGCGGACCCGGTCGAGGTAAGCCTGTGCTAAATATAAGCACATGCGCATTATCCGCCAGCGATAAAATGGCGACTACCGGCATTAGCCATACAATACTGGAAGCGCTCTAGCTCTACAACTGAGCATTTCAGAGAAAATCCCACATCTTTTCTGACCTTCGTCACCCGTTGGGTAGATGGTATCGTTTCTTGGACGAACAGACATTCGAGAGGTGAGATGTAGAGTAACAGACACACACACGGACAGACCCAACTACTGTAATCCTCGCTGTGCATGCGCGCCGAGGGTTAATGACTAACATCTTCACCAGTCTACAGACTGGACTGGCTATGATACCACCTGTTCCCCATCATTTGTAGGTGCATGTAAGTTACAAACAATTGTTGCAGGTATTAAAGGAATTTGTGTCACTACACAAGTGCAACTAAACAATCCAGATTTCCGTTTTTGTAATAATTTCTCCACTGCCACATTCTTGTGACTCACGTCTCAAAACATGAATGTAGGCAAACACATAGACACATATTATCTCTGATTTAGCATGTGCAATGGTAACAGGCTCTTTGGGGTGCATGAGCTGCGTGGGCGAATGCACACCAATTAATTAATAGACCGTTGATCATGATTAGCCAGCCAAACATGTTGGTTGCTATGTACGAACATAAAGAGACCATACAATTTCCCCATACTTTAGCTATAATGTCAACTTATTTGAATAAACCACAGTGGGTCTACAGGAGTTAGACGATAGTAGGAAATTGGCAGCGTGGAATGCAATTAGGGGCTTTAGACTCTTTGTGTGCTGCTGTTTCTTTACCAGAAGGGAGTGTTTTCAGGCTAGAGTGGCCAGAAACTGCTCTAGTATATACGCGGTCTGAAAACTAGCGAAAGCTGCTTCCCGACGCGTAGGCTCCCGTGCACTGGAACAGTATTCGGTGACTTTCACATCCCATATTTCTTGCTACTGCAACAGGCTGCATTCGAGAGTGCTGGGTATAGCGGGAGAGAAAGCGAGCCAGTGTGGAGTCTAGCAGCGAAAAGTATAGCTTTGACGTACCTGTAACGTTGAACTCTCGAGAAATGACCATGGCTTCTGCACAACCGCTCAGCTCGACCAAACTAAAGCGCTTATTGCAGCTGCCTCTCTCCCGATCGACCGCTAGCTAGCTCTCCGTACACTCCAGGGTTGCGTTAAAAAGAGGGCGTTTTGAAAGCTTTTGCGCAATCTCATTGGTCAGAGCCTTACCGCCGGATGTCATCGATCACGTTATACGACGATGGCATTGGCTTGCGGTCTACTGATTGCACACTCGTGGCTTATAGACCACTCGGGCTACGCCCTCGTGCCCTATCAAAACTGCCCACTCGTGTAAGTAGACCACGCGCCGCCACCGTATAACCTATACGTGGATCAGACCCTTTGTGAGGTGCTTGCACATGTAATGTGGGTGGGGCAAATGGCCTTTCAGAATGGTCAGGAGACTACAGAGGGGTGTGGTTTAGTTTACTGGCAGCATGCAGCAGGGAGGCTGCCAACTGGAGGTCTTTAAACGGACTTGTCCGTAATTTTGATACTAATCTCATAAGGCCACTCCAAGTTGTATACCGGTTTCTGGTCCGCCGCCGGCACCCCATTTCAAGAGAACGCCATTATTTACTGCCCGCCCGCCCGCATCTTCTGACCAGCAACTTGGAGTGGCCGCCTCTGATACCCCGCCTCGCCAATAACGAGACTAGGCTAGAATCATCCCCTGCAATGGCGCCAGTTAAAAGAAAGATCCACTACCGGCTTTTACTACTAATGGCATCGTTACTTCTCTTGGCGACCTGCTACTCATTGAATCAGCGCAGGCAGACAAGTGAGCTAGCAACTGGAAGGCAAACAGCACACGAGGACCCTACTGCTGCTACCTCGACTGCTACTACCCCCACCAAACTAAGCAGTATTTCCACCGCTCGGATCTCCCGCAACATTTCTAAGACCAGCATTTCTGCTGGAGTCCCCAGCACTACCCCGCCATCGATCTTGCTAGCACAACTTTTGAGCAAATGGTTCAACGAGTCCGCTCTACCTAAAGTTCCAAAGGCACAGTTGCAGTGTTCTGATGCCATCTGTTCCAATTTCTCTCTTCCGAACTTTAAATGCATGAATAGAATTCCAGACATTGTCAAAAGAATTGCGGCTCCGACCTGCCGATTTCAAAAAGGGGAGTCAAAACCCAAATACTTACTGACAAGCTTTCCTGGCAGCGGAAACACTTGGGTTCGACAAGTGCTAGAGAAAGCTACAGGAATATGCACAGGTGATGCTGAATTACACGAACCTCATCCCAGTATATACCCTCTCTATTTCACTAACTGCATCAGTTTTGGGGTTAGTTAGTGGGTAATCTGGTGTGCGTAGCCTGGCCCCACTCTCAATTGGGAAAGGGCTAGGGCATCCCGCCAAGGGCAGCTCTTTGTCCTGGTTTATGACCCTAGTGCTGCCTTATATATACAGGTTCCGTCTACTGTGATCATGACATGATGTTATCGGGGATGATTGGAGAAGGCGTGGACTCTAGTTCAGTTTTGGCCGTCAAGACCCATAACACTAAGGTGCAGGAGTATTAGAGAGTCGGTAGACTCTCTATATAGGGATGACACGGGTGAAATCTCACGTGATCCGCGTACAAAACGACTAAAAACTCGGTGAGAAACACTTCCTCGGCCTTCAAAACATACTAGCAATAGTCTACGGGCCCATATCTACCTATACATGTCCCCCAAGAGCTCATACGCACCTTCAGTCGTCCACGCGAGAATTCGCTCATACGCGATTTCATGATTTTCGTGTCATCATAATAATTACAAGTGGAAAAATCATTTCTTCAAAATGAAAGGGGGATATAGGGATGCTTGAAGC